ACCTTTCGCATAATGTGTTCGCTGTAGATATTACATGGAGTTGACGAGATTATGCATCCCTGCCTGACACCTGCCTCTGTTCTGAAATGATCATAATGGGTGTTGTTTATTTATTTATATATATATATATATATATATATATATATATATATATATATATGTACATATATATATATATATATATATATATATATATATATATATATATATATATATATATGTAACAATAAAACACTGAAAACTTTGTTTTCAAACTTCCACAAAATTTGTTTTAAATATTATCACTACAGCTGTTTCGGCTGATTGCCTTTCTCAAGTGATCTATTTTGGCTTGGGTTTACAAATTTATAGTCTCTAATGAAATAGGTTGAGGAGGGGAGAACTGTTTGTCTCAAGTTGGTCATTCAGAATTATATCTGTGTTTTTTAATTTGTTGATTTCCATAGATTCTAACAAAGATAGCTTAAGGCCTTTATTTTGAATGTGAAGAATTTTAAATTTGTCATTAAAAGAATGATTATGATCTAGAAGGTGAAGTGCGTATGTCGAATCTGTTTTTCTATTCTTGAAAGCCCTTTTATGTTCTGCTATTCGTTTATCAAAGTTTCTACCAGTTTAACCGATGTAAGTTTTTGGGCAGTCGCCACATTGAAGTTTGTACACACCACTATTTAAGTGTTTTTTATTTTGGCTCTTGTTATTTTTAATATATTTGCCTAGGTTGTTATTTGTTCGGAAAGCTGGTGTTATTCCTTTCTTTTTTTATGTGTTTGGCAATTTTTGTTGTTATTTTGCCTGTATATGTAATTGAGCAGAAGGTACTGGGTTTTTTCTCTGGTGGTGGAAATACTAATTTCAGGGCTTTCTTGTGTAGTTTTTGATTTAACATTTTATTAATTGTTTGTTCGTTGTATCCGTTGTTTACTGCTATTTGTTTAATTATATTTAATTCTGTCTCAAAGTTGTATTTTGACATCGGAATTTCTGTTAATCTATGTAACATACTATGATAAGCTGCCAGTTTATGTTGTGTTGGATGGGATGACGAATTGTGTATAGTCGTGTCAGTATGGGTAGGTTTATGAAATATGGAGAAGTCATGTTTGTTTTGAAGTCTGCTAATTTTTAAATCTAAAAAATTTATGGATTGATTTTGTTCTGTTTCTATTGTAAATTCAATATGACTATGAAGTGAATTAATATATGATAAAAATTGGTCGAGTTGCCTGTTAGTTCCTGTGAAACATACCAGTACGTCGTCTACGTATCTCCACCAATATAAAAACTGTTTGAATACGGGATGTTTTGAAATCTTTGTCTCTAGATGATCCATAAAAATATATATATATATATATATATGATCCATAGACTGAATAGAACTCAGAGTTCTATTCAGTCTACGTCCTCACATCAATCAATGGTCGGGTTCTTAAACCCGTACCATGACAAAAATTTTTTCAATTTTTTAACGTGTTTGTGAAGTCCAGTGTCGGCTTTTTATATGTTTTTTTTTATATGTTTTAAGAATTTCAACACCTACAAAATCCTAATTTTGAAATTTAAGGAAATGAGATCTCTCCTTTGTAGTGGTATTTAAAAAATTGACCATAGCTCTGATGATGGCTTTGTAAAGCCAAAAGCGCTCAGCTAGGAATTGCCTAAAAAATATACACACTTAAAAAATACTTTTTTGCATTTTCTTTTGACTTATTTTTAAAAGTCTATCATTTATCGGTTGGTAATCATACACGTATTGTGAAACTTTTTTAGTCACCATAATTGCATCACCATTTCTTCCTGTGTTATTTGCTCCCGATATGTATACAACATAATCTGGCGTTCAGAAGTATCCTTGTCCTTTCCAATGGGTCTCCGAAAGTCCGCATATTTCTATATCTTCTTTTTCGACTTCTCGTTGTAGTATATGCAGTTTGCCTGATTGTAATAATCCTCGAACATTCCAGGTTGCTTTTCTCATTGCTTTTCTTAACTGAAAATCTGATTTTCTTCCAGGCGTCAATTTGGCATTTGTTGCCTGGTTGCTCACAAATACATGCCCGGTAGCCCATTTGACACTAGTTGGCCCGGAACAAACAGTGCCGATCGCTAATCGGATCGCTAAGCATATATAACTGATTCGATACATTCATGATGGTGTAGTCACAGAAATATAATCAGGTGATTTCCCCTTGCCTGCCTGATCGTAGTATCACGGACGGTTGAATCATTATGTGATATCTGCCCGTGAGTATCTGTCATTAAGCCAACAGTAGAAATCATTCCGCTATAGCCTTAATGAAGTAATGTCATAGCTGCTGCCCTATGCCATGTCCTCAGTTGGTCCACGGGCGCTTATTTGGTAAAACTTATTCACACCTATCCTACATATCTGTAGGGCATTTCCCTATCAGCCAGTGGGACGCACCGTGTCGGGGTTGACGACTCCCCCGCCCGCCCTTCCGTCTTCCGCGAAGTACAGAAGAGTCCCTACTTAATTCAGAACTCCTCCTCCACGCAACCTATGACGGACACGTAGATCACATCTACGTTTTATTTTTCCGATACTATGTACTCTATCCACTATCATTATCTTTGTCTTTAATATGTTTCACTGCAGACCAAATATTTGACTTTCGTTTTCAACCAGTCGTGTGAGATCCATTAACTCATTTTTAAGAAGAGCCCTTTCGTCTGCAAAATGTAGGTTGTTTATTTTTCGGTCATTTATTGAGATGTTCTTTTCCCATCTTTTAAGCGCTCTTCTCATAATATGCTCACCATCTATATTAAACAATTGTGAAGACAGTATACATCTTTGTCTGACTCCTTGTTCATTTGAAAGTGTGTCAAGCATAACTGTTCGAGTAGTGTGTTCCAGTAGTTCAGTTACAAGCGAAATTAAGTGTTGTGGTACGACTACTTGTTTTATTATCTGCCATAAGTATTGACACTTGATCCTGTCGAACGCTTTGCGATAATCTATAAAACAAATTAGTTTTCAGTTTCTCATTGATTATGTGTAGCATTATTTTGTTGGCATGTGAGATAAGATCAGTTGTTCATGTTTATCAGAGCAAGTGAAGCAATTTTATTCCGGTTTCTTCTGTAGCTTTGAACATTTCTGCTATTATCATAACTGAACCTAGTACTTCGTTATACTTGAGTTCACTGATCGCCAGTCTTACTTCATTCTCGAGTATGTTAGATTCTTCTTCGATTTATTCAGGAGTTTGTTGAACAAGTTCCTGGCGTTGATCATCTTTATATAAATCCTGGCAATATAACCTGCATGTTGCTATATATTCTCTGTTGGTTCTCAGAGATCCTGTGTGGTATGCAACGGCCCAAGTTCTGTTTTTAAAGTCTTTTGTTATGTATCGTATTTTTCTAAATAGCCTCTTGATTGTTTTGATCGTGGGTCTCAATTTGCATATAGTGACAGTATTGTTGTTTATCAACCTTGCACCTTAGTTTTATTTCTTTGTTGAGGTCTCTTAAATTAGCTTTCTCCCTTTCACTATGTACGAAGATTTGGTACAGATTTCTTCTATTCTGTTCATCTATTATCAGTGTTTTTGTTTCACTGGATTATTTACCTTTGGGCGATTAATTGGTGTTATTACACAATGTTTAATACTCTCCCATATTTCTTGTGATGTAGCCTTACCAGTAGAGGGCATACTTTTTTGCACTTGGAGAAGGTGGTCTTTTTTACTTACTTCTATCCTCTTTGTCTCTCAGTTTATTGGGCGCTTTAAGTTTGAGTTTTACTTTAGCTACAAGAATAGTATGGTATGATTCATGTATCGTCCCTGGATATGATCTGACTGTTTGGATTTATGGTCCCCAGCACCAGATGATGAATTAGTGAGGATTTAGTCAATTTGATTTCTAGACCTGTCTCCAGGATTTTTCCAAGTATAAAGTCGGCGTACATGGTGTTTAAATCGAGTATTCATAATAAAATAGTTATTTGTGATAGCAAACTTGATTAAGCGCTCTCCTCTTGCGTTTCTCTTTTCTATGCCATACTTTCCTTGTACATTTTTTAGGTCGTCATTCTGTGTAGTGTTGCCGACTTTTGCGTCAAAGTCACCACACATTAAGGTTAGCTCTTTATTCGAAATGTTGGTAATTGTTTTCAATTTTTCGTAGAATTCCTCGACTATTATGTGTGTATTTATGTGGTTTGCCTTCCAGTTTGTGGAGACCTATCCTATCGCTAATAGCTTTAAATTTGACGACATACTTTTTAATCTTGGTAAGACCAGAATGGCATCACCTGTATAGTTATGGGTCTCACTGCGAGAGAAGTAAACATAATTGCCATTACGTGTTCTAAAATGGCCTTCTTCTAACCAATGCGTTTTAGCTAGTCCAGAGATTTCAATGTTATATATTGCCAGCTATCTTTCAATAATTGACAGTTTACCTGTGATTATCTTTAGCCTATGTACGTTCCATGTACTGACATTAATTAATTTTCTGCATTAGAACACATTTCGCACTTCTATAGCTATCCATATCATATTAACATTATTTGTGCTTTTAGGCTGTGACTTCTATTTTTAAGTAGTTTCTGTGGTGATATTAACTTAACCTATAGCTGTGCTGTCTATTTTATGTGAAACTATCGAGAAATATAGCCGGAAATACCCAGGTTAAACTTTTGGTAGTTGCGAAATAGACACACCATTGTAGTTTTTTTATTTAAGATTCTCTTTTTTTTTCTGTTGATATGTTGATGATGAATGATATGTTAATTCGCATGCATTACATTCTTTATCCTCTTCTTGTGGTTTTCAATTTTAATAGATTTTTTATTTTCCCGTTTGTTTTTCTAAGTTGTACTCAATTATTACCTACTTTTTCAAGATAGATTTCATTCGCAATCTTATAATTTTTTATGTTTCTCATCTATCTATTTTTAATTCTACTTTTGTTTGTTGGGCCATTTTATATTATTTATGTTTAATAAAAACATGTAATACAGTTTTTTTGAATAATAATCTTTATTTAATAATATAATACATGACGAAAATGTATAAATTCTATCAACTAAACTAATTTCTCTTACGTTACTAATACTAATTATGAAGATATATTTATCTCCAGGTGAATTACAAAATGATCATTTTTTTATTGATTTATGACTTCCTTAAAACGGTTCATCCAAATTAATACAAAAATGAACCATAATGTAAGTAAATGGCAAACATATTTTCTTAACATAACAGAAACTTAGAACGCAAGTCAATCTTCATAAAATACGGTTAGATGTGGATAGTTTTGTCTATTGAAGTGGTTTCTGAGTGGTGTTTGGAAGGAACAAGCAGAGAAGACCTCCTCCTATCAATAAACCAGTTACGATAAAAGTAGGTGCTGGACAGTATAAGTCAAGTAACTGAGCAATTACTATGTTTCCAATTATGCCACCAAGACGAGCAGCAACCATGGATACAGCAATACCTGTAGCTCTGTAAAAAAACAAACAGGTGAAAATCTTTTTATTTATATGTTAGTATTGGTTTAGAACCTTAAGTCAGTAATTACATACAAATATTAGTATTCATTTATTCAGGATTGTACAAGGACACTTTTATACCATAATCAGTAAATTTTTTTGTATTAAGTAAGATTAATAGTACATTTAAGTTTAATGGCATCTTTAAACCAGCTTTCAGCAATTCTTCAAGCAGCCACGTACTGGTATTGAGATGTAAGGGACAGTTAAAGAATATGTGATTTAGGTCAGCTGTGCTAGTTCCACACTCACATTTATCTGTTGGGAGAACTCCGAGTTTATGTAGATGTTTCAGAAAACATCCATGATCTACTTTTATTCTTAGGATGGTCGATACTGCATTTCTACTTAGTGCAACAACGTTGTAAAATTGGTTCGCAGCTACTGTTGTTTGTAATTTAAACAAATCATTGCCTATAGTTTCACCGAACTGAATTCACCGTCTAACCCATTTAAATTTGCTACACTGTTTCACATGTACAATGAGATTACATGTGGTAAATTCTTCAATCATATATATATATATATATATATATATATATATATATATATATATATATATATATATCTATGTGAGTACTTCAGTTGATTTTTAGCTATTGAATCCGCAATACTCTTATTCAATATATCTAAACGTCCATTTTTTTTAAAGCCCTTTTCTCTATTCGGATTGCCGAATATAGGCGTCTCCTAATTCTCGCCATTCATCCCTGTTGTTTGTAAGACGTTTCCACATTGGCCCTGCAGTTATTTTAATATCATTGCTCCATCGCAATTGCGGTCTTCCTCGTGCTCTTTTGGCTTCATATGGCCGCCAATTTTCCGATTTCTTTATTCCATCGGCCATCCGTAAGACGTCCGTTATGTCCAGCCCATTTCCATTGCAGTTTAGCTGCCTGTTCGACAGCATCTTTTACTTTTGTTATATTACGAATGGCTTCATTGGTTTTATGGTCTTTGGGTGAGATACCCAGCATCTGTCGTTCCACATCTCTCTGAGTTTTTCTGACCTGCCCCATGTTTATTTTAGTGAATGTCTAGGTTTGAGCTCCATCTGTAAGCACAGGTAGGATACAGGAATTGAACACTTTGGTTCGCAGTCTTTGAGGTATATTTTTATTTTTAAGTACGTATGAGAGTCTTCCGAACGCTGCCCATCCCATTTTTACACGTCTGCTTATTTCGGTAGTCTGATTTTCTTTGCTTACTTTGACATTTTGACCCAGATATGTATATTCATCTACGTGTTATATCTCTGTCCCTTCGAGGTTTATCATAGGTTTGTCATCTTTGTTTGACATTAGTTTAGTTTTGCTGAAATTCATTTTCAGTCCTTTTTTTAGGGATTCTGTGTGTAGCTCCTCAATCATCATATTCAGTGCATTATACGTATCGGCTATTAATACATCATCTGCGTATCTAAGATGGTTCAAGTATCTTCCGTTAATAGGGATTCCCTTATTTTCCCAGTCTATTGAAAGATATCTTCTAGCGCAGCTGTAAATAATTTTGGAGCTATTGTGTCTCCTTGTCTTACTCATCGGTTGATTTTTACTGGTCTTGTTTCGATTCCATTACCCAATGTCACTATCATTTGAACTTGTTCGTAAATATTATGTATTAGTATTCTGTACCTGGAGTCGATCCGGTTGTTGACTACTGCTTCTTCTATTGCCCACAGTGCTACGCTATCACAAGCTTTTTCATAATCTATAAAAGCCAGACATAGCGGGAGATGATTGTATTCGTTAGTCTTTTCTATTAGGATTTTTAAAGTGTATAGATGGTCACAGGTGCTGTACCCTTTTCTAAATCCGGCTTGTTCGACTGGTTGATATCCGTCAAACTTAATTGTTAACCTGTTTGTAATTATCTTTGTAAAGGTTTTGTAAAGTTGTGAAAGAAGTGAAATTGGTCGATAATTTTTCAGGTCTGTGGCGTCTCCCTTTTTGTGTATTAGTATTGTTTTAGCAGTATTCCATTGTTCGGGTATGTTGCCTTGGTAGAGACATTTATTAAATAATATTTTTAGATATGTGATGGCTTCTTCTCCGCCTTCCTTCAGAATTTCTGCTAGAATTCCATCGCTTCCAGGAGCTTTATTCCTTTTTATTTCTTTTACTGCTTTTCTATTTCTTCGTGGCTTACTTAGGGCATCACTTCTGAGTTGACATTTGTTATCTGCCTTTTCAAGTTTTGCTTTGAATGTCTATTAACCCATACAAATTTAACATCATATGATGAATATAAGATGACATAATATATATTTTAATATGAATATATTGCTGTTAACTGTGACTTTAAAATTTTGTAATGCATTTAATACTGATAATCAATCACTGCACATAACAATTTTGTTCCACGGGTTCTTACAACACAAGGGCTTTATATCTAGCACATGCTTCAGCGGAAAAGATGCTGGATTGATTATTTAGAGTAAATGCTTTTTTAATATTTATTTTTGCTACAAAGTAAGCACTGGTTGTACATGTTACTAATTTTGAACCATCTGTATATATCTGTACCGTAGAGGTAAAGGGTAGTAACTCCATTTTTTTCTAATTTAGACTTAATACTTTGGCTAAGCTTAAAATGTTCCAATCTTATTTGTGGCAAAAGATGGTATGTGAAGTATTACTGGTGGCCTAGATATTCTTATAAGAAAAAGTAGTATATCCTTTGGAGAACGAGGTAAAGCATAGTAACTCCATCCGCTGTCGGATTTGTTTATCGAGCATGCTACTTCGCGCGCGGTAAACAGCAGTATCTCCACACAAGTGTTAGTCACCTTGATTGACAGAGCGTTTTACTTGATAGATAGTTGACAGTTACAAAAAATAAAAGCAGAAATGAATTCCAAAGACTCTAAAACTTTGGCAAATTTAAAAAACATGGTTGGATCGAGGATATGTGCGATTGTGGAAAAAGCAAAAGCTGAAAATTTGACCGTAGACGGTAAGTGAGGTTAAGTTTTAATTTTTATATAATCTTATAACTAGGAAATTGTTAACATGTTCTAAAAATGTTGGTTTGTCACGTTTTATATAGTAGGTGTTTACTTGTTCTTGCTCTTTAGAGTCTTTAGTAGTTTGGGCATTTGAAAATATTGCTGTTGTAAGAGTTTTGACCGGTAGATATTATGTTGTTTTATTCACTGCCCAATTTTCAGATGCATAAGTACATTTATTGCTCCTTCTTTATAGTAATTGAAATTCTTAATCTTCAACAACTATTTATAAAATCTAATACTAATACAAAATTAACATAACCATTAAGGGGAAAAGGACAAAAATGCAAAATTTTGACGCCTGTCAAAATTTTCTATGTATTTTAAATGTTATCATTTTTTTCGAATCGTGAGAAAACTAATAAGTATTTTTAAAAAATTTAAACGCAAAATGAAGTCCCTTAGAATGAATAAAAAGTTTGTTTTGAATGAGATATTTCAAATTCAAAATCACACTACATTTTCTCTTAGTTTTTCACCCCTGTAACTTATTAAAATAAACATTATAGAAGTTTTCAGGGACTTTCGTCTCTCGGTAATAACGTAATCTTCCATTCTGAGTTTAAATTTTTCAGAAATACTTATTAGTTTTCTCAGAATTCGAAAAAAAATTAATCCCATTTAAATATCATTGAAGTCGAAAGTTCGTACCCATCCCCTTAAGTAGTATTTTTTGTAGTAAGTGGTATTATCTTTCTAAGAAAACATCAACCTGCAAAATACTGAACTTGCTGCTTTTTTTGAGAATCACACAACAATGCCTCTAATCCATTTTTTGCTTTATTCTGTGTGTTGTTCTGAAGCTATTTTCTTGTGGTATCTTATGTAATTTATTATTTTAAATGGGAATAAAGCCACAATTTATTTTTAAATAAATTCATTTGAAAATAAATTGTGGCTTTATTCCCATTTAAAATAATAAATTATTCTGTGTACTGTTAACAGTTCGACAGATAGAGAAGATTAAATAAAAATAAATTTTTTTATTTACAGAATCGACGAACGCCTCTGATATTGCTCAAGCTTCAACAAGCCGTGCTCAAAATTGCAATTATTTGTCTAATTTAACTGAAGAATGTGTTAGCGATGATGATAGCATAAAAGACCCCGATTACACGGACGATGATGGAGAAAATATGGACAGCAGTAACAATAGCTACAGTAGCAATTATTTGGGAGACAATAATGGTGAATTGGAAGCAGATGATGATGAAGATGTTCAACTTGATAAAAACGTGACTGAAAATGAAACGGAAACTGATGACCAAATCAAAAAGAAAAGACGTTATAAGAAACCAGAAACTTGGAAAGTAACAAAAAGAGTAGAGGCAACATTAGGAGGAAAGGAACACATCAATAAATCAGGTAAAATTATAAAAGCTAAAGCAATGAAGCCCCCTTGCCCTCCTTGTCGACTAAAATGTTCAGAAAAAATAGCAGAAGCTGTAAGACAGCAAATTTTTGAGAATTATTGGTGTAACACAAAAAATTGGGAGTTAAAGCGTCAATTTGTGCGCTCGCATATCACTCCGAAGAGTGTAATACGTCGTAGACCTAAAAACCATTCTAAAAGGCCGAGAGAAGTCAGCATTTCTTATAATTTTGAAATAAAGTTAGATGGAGGTGTAAAAAAAATTGACGTATGTAAAAAATTTTTTTTAAACACTCTAAATATTTCAGAAACAGTTGTACGTAACGTTCTAAAAAACGACAATATGGGAGGCTTTGTGACACAAGACCATAGGGGAAGGCATGAACCAATTAATAAAACACCAGAAGCGGTTTTGGATCGAGTACGAGAGCACATTAAGTCGTTTCCGTGCTACGAAAGTCATTATTCTCGATCCAAAACTGCCAAGAAATATCTAGGACCGGAATTGAGCCGTGAAAAAATGTACAAATTATATACCTTAAAGTGTGAAGAAGACCACATTCCAAATAATGAAATTGTTAAATTATGGCTGTATAAAAAAATTTTCAATAATGATTTTAATTTAGCATTTAAATCGGTTTCCGTGGATACTTGTGATAGTTGCGATCGGTTTATGCTACAATTAAAAAACTGTTCCGAGCAAGAAACAATAACATTACGGCGAAATTATGAACAACATCTTCAAGAAGCAGAAAGTCGATACAAAATGAAAGCAAACGATAAAAATGAAAGCAAAAAATCAGCTGGAAAAACTAAAATTATAATGTGTGATTTGCAGAAATGCTTGCCTACGCCCTGTTTGACAAATAACCAAAGTTTCTACAAGCTGAAATTATGGACTATAAATTTCACGATATACGACGCCACAGAAAATAAATCGTATTGCCTTATCTGGGATGAATCCGAAGCTGGAAGGGGTGGCCATGAAATTGCCTCGGCATTAACTAAATGGGCTCTGACAGTTCTATCACAAACTGATGTGGAAGAATTGGTTATTTGGTCAGATAATTGCCCTAGTCAAAACCGCAATGTTATGGTAATGATGAGCTACTTTTGGCTTTTGAACATCTGCCCTAATTTAAAAGTAGTTAACCATAAATATTTACTGAGAGGACACACTCATTTAGAAGCTGACCAAGTGCACGCTATAATTGAAAGATCTGTAAAAAAACAGCCAACAATGCAGATCGTAACGCCTTGGGATTGGCAGCAATTAATCAGTTCCGTAGGTGCTCAGGTAATTAAAATGGACAAAGATGACTTCAAAAATTTTGAAGTACTTTACTCTCAGTCTCAATCCCCATTCATCACTAAAAAGAAAAATGCCGACAATAATAATTTCCTCATTTCAAACGTAGTCCAATTCCAAGTAAAAAAAGACACACCGACCATAATTTTTTATAAAGAGGCTTTTGAAGAAATTAGACCCAAAGAATTACACGTCGCTAGAAGAACAGCAACTGCGATCAATCTTCCAGAGCAGTTACCATTACGATATCAAAAACCCAAAGGGATCACACAAAAGAAAAAGGATCACTTACTAATCCTTTTACAATGGATCCCTAGTCAGTTTCAGGAGTTCTATAGAAATTTAGTTGTTACTAAAAAAAAAGTTGATGATAGCGATGATGAATAAATGTTTTTTTATCATTTTTTGTGTTTTTGTTTGAATTTATGTAGGCACTTACTATTTTATACAATGTTTTATCTGCCGGTACATGCCGAGGCAAAAGACCTTAAGTCCCAATATTATGCAATATATAAACAAATTTTTTATCACAGTAGGACAATATTGATTAACTAATATATAACGTTACAATTATATAAATACATAATTTCATATGTCTTCAGATTAAGAACAGTTGCAATAATTATCTGGAACTCATCTTATTTTCCCATTATCTCAAAACTTCACTAAATGGATATACTACCCTTTACCTCTACGGTACAGATATTGTAATGTAATCTGAATAGTTACTTAAGATCTCCTTGAGAGTATTATGACAATGTTCAATTTGGTATTAAGGAATAATGATGTTTGAAGATAAGAACACTTGTCAGGTGTGTTATGTCCAATAATTCCCAAATAGTTCAATAATTACAAGCAAAATTGATTAACTTAAGTTCATTTCAAGTTACAAATGCTTTTGCAAGTGGTGGAGAATTTTTTAAGAAGAATAATCAGCTGTACTTAATTGATTAATTATTTTGATTATAGTTGCAGCGGTGATCTTGGATTAAGAACTATTTGCTTGCCAGATATTCTCTGCGTAATGAGAGTGGGGTTTCAGAGATAGAACCAGTGTGGCTTTATTCGGAGTGCTTTTCATCAACCCTAACACGATTTTCCAAGCTTTAAATTGGATTCTATTAAGTTTACGTAAATGAGGTATGCTAATCATATACCATAATATACCAAAGAGCCGTAATCTATAATTGATCTTATATAGGCTCGATAAAAATTCAATGCAATATTTTGATTTGGACCCCACGATCTCTTACAAATATTTTAAGAAAATTAATAGCTTTTTCGCAGCGACTAATTATGTGGTTAATATGTAAAGTCCAAAGCAGTTTTCTGTCAGGTATTACACTATGGTATTTGAATTCCGAAACAATTGATATGGCATTGCCCTGTAAGGATACAGTATAATCTTTAAAGCCATTTAACAAAGTGCAGCTATCAGAGTTGTACATTATATGTTTTAGTTCAGCAATACATTCGATGTACTTTCTTTTTTTTTCGAAGTAGAAACTTCTTTTTGTACAATGGTATAAAATGTTATTATTAAGATTTATTAAAAATTATCCAAAATGGATTTATAAATTTTTCAGAATGTTTTCGATCTGATCATCCTCAGTAAGTTATTTTTATATGTGCCATTGTTCTCATCAGTTATTTTATCCGTAAAACAATGTAGCAATTACAAAACCGTGACATCCTACACTCATAGATTCGGTAGCTTGTAAGCTACCTCTTAATTATTATAATGGAATATTTTCAAGTTGAGGGAAATGTCTGTTTTTTAGATATTTGAAACAATGGTTGAACCTTCATTTCTATCAATCATTATTTGAGATGTGTAAAGGAATTCATTCCTGTTTGTACTACCTTAAAATTCCTAGCTGTTATCAATTATCGATAACTTCATTATTCATGAGAACCCTTGAATCTCGTTTGTTTTGCCAATAATCTTATGAATACGTAGTGATTTCCATATCACTTACCTTAGGATATTTGACCCTTCCAGATGAAAGGATAATCTGATTGTTTTTCCGATAATATTGTTTCTTATCTCATGCTGAGCCTGATCACTCGGTGTCAAGTATTATTATTTGTGATTAAACGTTTTTTTTTTATTTCTAACTAACTTTTCTTTAAATTTGCTAACCTGTCAACGACTTTAATACAATCCATACTGCTACTTTCTGAAGTCTATGGCGACGGGTTTTGGAACATTGTATCATCCTCGAGTTATGGAGATATCTTGAAGTGCAGGTATGTATGTATGTGTAGAATATCTTACTTTTTGTAAGAATTTTATGCCGCGAAAATCCCTGGTTTGAAAAAGCTATGGTTTGTTAGAACAGTGAGCGACGCATAACTCACAGTCAGTCGAACGCCGCGTAGGTTCGTCAAACTCAAAGAAATGGTTCTCTATGATAACGGTTTGTTTGGTACTGCTCAGCTGCGCGCACTGCATAGTGATAGCCGTGTACGTCGACGGTATGTGCTGGAATCAACTGCGATTTGATTTTGACGCAAACGTTTAGCTGAGCTCACAGCGTATACACATCTATACCGAAATTATAATTGTATTTTTATATAGTTATTATTATTGTAATAATTAAGTGATGTCTACTAAATTTTCTTCCGAGGAAGATGAAAGATTAGTGGATCTAGTACAAATTGTAAGACAGTTCCAAATAAATCCCTGGAAAGTCTAAAATATTCTCCAAATTTTTCCTCGTTTTAAAACAGTCTTTCTTAGGCTGTAAATTTAAAAGCACCTTCTGTATTAAGACATGAAAACATTTCGTTTACATTTTAATTTTTTTTAATTAAATTTAACGTTATCAGCTATTTTTCTTCCTAGTATTTTTGGAGTAATAAAATTATTGCGTATAAGTTTGCCAGAATTCATTTTTTTAAACCTACAACTTTTGAGATAATAAACGTGAAACTAATTTCTAAACTTGTTTTCAGAGCGACAGAATGTTTATGCGAATTAATCTAACAAACCGACTCACCCAAAACTGCCGTGAGTCGAGTACAACAGATTCTTCTGTACGTGTATGCTGTGCGCTGCGCACTGTTCTAACAAACCGTAGCTTTAGTATGAGGCTGTTTATATGGAATAATTTAAAACAAAGATGTTGACAATCTTCATAGTCATAGTACAATACAATAATTTTAATAAAAATAGTATTTGCTAGCTTTTACCTGAGATGAGTTGGGAAGATTTCAGTGATGAGGGAATCTAAAGCAGCGTTACCGCATGAAATAACACTACTGAATACTGCAGATACAATTAGATTATGAGTCTTGTTGTAAACGAAATACATGCATGCTGAGCATAATCCAGATGATACTGTACTGAACACTAAAAAAGAAAAAATAATTAGCTAATTAATATATTATATAGACATGTAAGCAATACAATTACATATCCTAATCATTATGTAACGCTATAACCCTAGGCGGGTATTGGCTGACTATACAACTTTTTTACAATTAGCTCGGACTTACATCAAACTATAGTCAATTGTGATGTTCATTTTTTGGAAATCTTATTGGATTTTGCCGCTCATAACCTCCCCCAAATCAGTTTAAACATTTTTTCGTTATGAAGTCTATGTATATGCCTTGCCCACCTTAATCGTTGAGATTTAATCTCCCCAGGAAAGAGGTTTAAGAATAAAGAGTCGTGGTGGTGCATAAATGGAGTAGAATAAAAATAAAGAAGAAGACAAAACTGACAAGAAAATAGGTCCGAAAATAGATACGATCAACTTACTGCCAGGAAGCATGAACCAACGGAAACTGTTCTCAACCTGGGGGCCCGCCCCTCTAGGGGGGCGTGAGAGAATTTCAGGAGAGGCATGAGGGTACAAAGAAAAAAAAATAGAATTAAAAAATATATTTTGTTAAAAAACAAAATATTTTGTATTTCGTATTTTTATTTTGTTTAGAAATATTTATTTATTTAAACGTGATTAAAATCGTTTTACTCAAACACACAACCTGAGTTAAACACGACAGTCTTTGTATGGCAACATCGCAGGAGCGCAAAGTACCTATATCTACCAACACTGTATTGCAAGCACTCCTGGCTCCAGTTCAGTGACTCCGTCTCACGCGTCAGTCTCAGTCGACAGCATTTTTGTGCTGTTTGTAGCAATCAGTGTAATTGTTATTTAATAACAGAGTGATTGTTTTGTGCATTATTTAATAGTGTTGTGTAACAGCTTTAAAAATGGCTAAGTCACTTCCAAAGAAAATATTGTATTCAGACGATTATATCAAGTACGGTTTTACCTTTATGATAACACGGCAGTCATTTACCTCAGTGTGTCAACTGCCATGCTGTTCTTAGTAATAATGCAAGGACGTTTGGAACGGCATCTAATTACAAACCATTCTTCTTTGAAAGATAAAGGCCCAGAATTGTTTATTGCCAAATAAAGCAGCCTAAAAGTGTGAAACTTGACTCTACTGCAAATTTTCGTGTTGAAAACGAGAAAGCTGTGGAAGCATCATACAAAATAGTACTTTTGATGGTTAAAGACAAGAAGCCACATACTATTGGTGAGTCACTAATTAAACCTTGTTTACTTACTGCTTGTAGTACCTTACTTAGTGAAGACGAAAAATTTCTCTCTCAAACGACACACTTAAACGTAGAATTGATGACATGGCTTTGAATTTGAAAAATCAACTATGTATTGCAAAAATTAAAAGAGTCGCCGTTTTTTCTTTGCAGTGTCACGCAACAATTGATATTTCAAAGCATGCACAGTTATTGTTTTACTGTCGATTTATTGACAGAAAACGGTTCCTGGAGGAAATTTTGTTTTCAACATCTCTTGAAACAAAAACTAAAGCCATTGACATATTTTCTGATCTTGAAGATTTTTTAGTAATCAATGAACTTCCGTGGAAGAAAGTAATAGGCATTTGTATTGATGGGGCCCAAGCCATGACAGGATGTCGATCTGGATTTATGGAATTGGCAAAAAAGAGGAACCCTAGGATAATTGGTTCTCACTGCATTATTCACAGACAAGTTTTAGCTAGTCAGACTTTACCTGAACCTCTCAACGTCACATTAAACTTAGCAATTAAAATAGTTAAGCACATCAAATCCAGCGCATTAAACACTAGGCTCTTTCAGGCACTAGGTCAAGAACTGAATTTGAAAAATCAAATTCGAAAGTAATTTCCAGATGTTAGTTCGGAAAACTGGGAATTTAAGTTGACAAGAGATCCTTTTCATATCGAAGTTGACATTCTTCCAGTTAACGTTCAAGAGCAGGCAATTGACCTAAAATGTGATTCACAAGCCAAAGCAGATTTTGCAAACATGGACTTGGAAAAATTTTGGTTAACCTACTTTCTTGTTTACCCAGAAGTGGCTTTAGTATCTGCGAAGTTATTGCAAGAAATATATACATATTGCAAGAAATAGAGAGTTAATGGAAAATGTGATCGCTAACATCCATTAGTGGATTTGCATCTGAAGAAGAAGAAGAAGAAGAAGTTATTAGTCCAGTTTTCATCCACATATCTTTACGAATATGCTTTTTCTGCATTGGCGTATATAAAATCAAAATACCATTCAAGGCTGGACGTTGAAAGTGACTTGAGGTGTGCTCTGACACAGTTTCAACCGAATATCGAAAAACTTATCAAGAGCAGACAATGCCAACCCTCTCATTGAAAGTGCAAAACAATCATACAAGACTTTCAACTTTATATGCCTATTTGATTTTTTGGTTGTTCTTTTTCTCAAATAAATAAACAATGTTAAGTTTAATGAGACATCAAATAAACTTTCGTATTTAAATATATCTGGATTTTTATTTTGCATCCCAGCTTTTGCTAACGTAGAGTTAGCACCGTCAGTTTCACAATTGCACTGTCATTTCACTTTTCTTGTTTCAAGGTTGAGAACCGCTGCTATATATTATGACGTTATTCGAAAGAACTTTAATTATTGTTCTTTAAGTTTTGTTAACTACTTTCTATATTTAAATCTAACAGGTATTGAGATATTTAGAAAGTGGTAGAAATTTCTAAATATTTTATAATAATTGGGCATATCCAAAAACCCCATACCCTAAATTTTCATGTATGAACTATGTCAAGTTTCTGTAACACGTCCAAAGAATCACCCTGTATAAAATATTCAAACAGAGCAAATACTGAAAAAAATTCAGAATAAAAACTGGAACAGTAGAAACAAGCTCTTGAAGAAAAAAATTTGAAACTTAGTAGGACAAATACAGAATATTTGGAATGTTCATTTATGGAGTTATGGAGATGAAGCTAGTGGTGTGTTTTGTGACTGAAAGATTCTAATGAAATTGAAAGGAAAATTCTATAACACTGCCAAAAGACCAGCTATAATGCACGAAACTGAATGATGGGCAGTTAAAAAGAATTAGAAACAACGAATGCATGTGGTAGAAATGAGAATGCTTAGATGAATGAGTCGAGTGACAAAAAGATGAGACTACTTGGGACTAAATTTTTTTCCGAGTGTTAAAATAATTTTTCTTGATCTTTTCGTTCAGAATTAAATATTGATTGCCTTTAACCGAATCTCCGAGCTTCAGTTAAATACAAATTTCTTAAGTTGTAATATACTTTTTCACAAAGAACAATTTAGTGTAATTTGTATCGAAATATACTAAATTAATTATAACCTAGATCTCTAGATAGTTTTACACAATTTATTAATAGATATTTTGTAATGAACTTACCTAAAAAGAATTTTCTACCCAATCTGTCCATTCCCAATACAGCAATAATGTTACTTGGTAATGCAGCAGACACTGTTATCAATGATTCTAAAAATACAGATGAAGAAATCTTGTCACTGCATAAAACACTGTCACTATGGCTCCCACTACTGACAACGTAGTCCACAACTTCACATACACCAGCTTCTGCGCCGTTGTGAATTTTAGCGTATTCGTCAAATCTGTTAAACATTTCAGGGAACCACATCATAAGACCGTAGTATCTAAAAGCAGAACGGAAAAAAAGTTATGAAAAATCATCTATACATAAATCAGTTTTATCTCATTCTTTAAACTGTGGACTTAATGTATTTGCCTAAAAATAAGTTAATTTAATAAGAAAGACAAATAAAACACTGGGTATGGTGGCAGAAGGTTTAAACCCGATCTTTTTACAATTTAAATAACAAGTAAGAAAGGCAACAACATTTAATATTGAGCACAAATGATATATCAAAAGAATGAAACTTTGTGAAAGATTGCATTGCAAAAAGAGATTATGACAAGGTATAAAAACAGTTATAATAAAATCATTAAAAAAGCTTACAAAGGGTTGAAGATGACTATAAAATAGCAAAGAGAAATAAAAAAATAATGGGCCAAGAACTGGTTATCTAGAAGATGAGAGCAAACCTCTTAATATCTTCACGATCCTAATCTTAATAAGAAGTATGGGAAACAAGAGATTATTACAAGATTTAATAACCAGTCACTAATGCGATGAATTTACGTAATCAGTATATTTACAAACAAATCCACCCAATTGGCATCGTACGCAGATAATATCAACATAATAAGCAGAGCAAAAGATACGATAGAAGAAACCTACGTTGAATTGAATCAAAATGCAGAAGTTGTAGGGCTAGCAATAAATACAGATAAGACAAAATTACTCGTACAAATCAGATCAAGTAGTCTACCACAACAACTCTTTATAGATGATATAAAACACGTAAACAGATTCACGTACTTAGGAATAAGGTCGCAAATAATAAATAACAACCAGAAATAAATAAAAGGCTTATGCTAGCCAATAAACGACATTTCGCCATTAACTACATATTAAAATCGCGAGATATTCACCTGAAAACAAAATTCCGACTCTATAAAGCAATAAGCAGGCCCATAGGAAGTTATGGGTGTGAAACATGGGCCATAACAGAGAAATCTGCTAATTCGTTAGATGTTTTCGAAAAAAACAAAAAATTACGGAAGATACTTGGCCCAATCAGTGAAAATAACAACTGGAGAATTAAATTTAATAAAGAAATATACAAACGATATATAGAACCAGCACTATCACAATACACTAGTCTGCAGTGATTACGGTAGGCAGTACACGTGGTCCGGATGCATGAGAGCACAATTCCCAGGAAATTAATAAACGCAATAATGCAAGAAAAACGACCTGTTGGAAGACCAAAATAGAGATGGAAGGATAAAGTAGATGAGGATGCCAAAAATCTCCTAAAAACAAGTTCATGGAAAAGACCAGCAGTAGATCGTAATCTGTGGTAAATCTTACTGAAGGAGACAAGGCCCGACTTGGGCTGTAGTGTCATTGGATGGATAGACATATAGTTTAGGAAGCAGCAAGTAGATTCATAAAAAAATTTAAAACGCTTCTGACTTGGAAGCCAGTGGCATATAATAGACTACATTTCATACTAATTAATATACTAATTAGACAAGCAACGCTTATTGATGTGACGATCACTAACAAAAACAATTTGCGTGTTAAATACAATCGAAAAATTGCCGAAAAAGTATAGATATCTTGAAATAAAAATAAGTAGACGATAGGGAATGGAAACTGTACAGACGACACCTATAACTTTCTCAACTAGCGTCGTTATTCCGAAGGCCCTCTTATGGAAGAGAAAACAGTTGGGTCTTAGTGAACATCTCTATAGGACCATCCAAAAGCCTGCTAACCATGTTCAGATGTGTCAGAAAATTGATTGCCACGCTACCTGAGGAAGTGAGAGAAGTATTTATATTATAAATACTCTATGGACACGTTTATTTAATAAAATATCCGAAAACACTTATTATTTCAAAAATTTTAGTTAAATTTATTACGTATGAGTTACGTAATTTATGTACGTATATTTTCCTTGATACCCCAAGAAAGTTGTTTACTAAGCCTACATCAAAAGAGCATCCCAAGTAATATGCTATACTTTGTCTCAAAGTGACTAGTCTGTACAGGGTAAGATATGCAATGCTATTCCTAAGTATGGGAATTTCGCCAAGACGTTGCCAGTTTTATGCAGTAAGCGATGGCGTTCTCTATTGTCTATCTTTTAAAATAAACGGAATAAACCAGAGAAACGGAAAAACTACGTAAACCACGTAATAGCAACAGAAAAGAAAATGTGGGAAATTGACAATTTGTTGGATGATATCGAACCAATTATTATAAATATAAATAACGGAGATAGTGATGACAGTGACGATAATGATGATGGTAGTTTAGCAGAAACTAAATGTGACAGCGATTGACAGAAAAAGGAACTAAAAATAATGGTGTACAATTACGATTACTTACACACGAAATTAAATACAATGAATTCTCTAATTTTCAACTTATTTATTAGTTTTATTTTCAGATATTTCTACGTTTTGTTACAACAGATACAGTGCAACAACAGTGTTTACAACAGTGTTTACAACAGGTTTTTAAAAGTCCTTCCCCGCTTAACTTTTGAACGGAACAATATATAAATAAAATATTTCTTTATATTTTAGTTTTATTTTATTCGATTTTATTAAAATCTATAAACAAATGGTTTGTATCGCTAGCACATACTGTAGAATTAAAAGCAAATTGCTTATGTGACATAAATAAAAGGCATTTCTTAATTTCTATTTTATTTTAATTTAACCCAAGTATGTTGTAGCAAATATTATTTATGCTTGAGAACCACTGACAGAAGGAAACCAGGCAGGGTCGTTAGTGGGCATTAGTACTTAAGCTACCCTCAACACAAAAGATGGATTAGGCTAAGTAGTAAGAAGTGACGTTTATTTTAATACAAGTTTGCAAAGAAGTATGGCATCGATGTTGTGCATGTACCCTGTAAAGACTAGTCACTTTGAGACAATCTATAGAAGAGTCGTCGTAATTATCCCGCATTCATCAGGAAAGTAGGAAGAACCTAAAATCCTCAGAAATATATAGATAAATACATATGCGAATCTAAATATATTAGACAGGAAATCTACATTGTTAAAAGAAATAAAACCTTAAACCTTATTTAAAAAATAATAATGAAAAGTACTTACCCAATGTGAAATGTAAAGTTGATGGTAATTGAAATAACTGTGAATTTCAAAATTGGTGAAACAAACAATTGCTTACTATTATCTAAAATATCAACAATCATATTGGTATATTTGCCTCTCTTTGCAATTTTGGCTTTTTGTTCAAGAGTGAGCTCTTCTTGTTCGAATATGAGATGTTTAACTGGATAGTCTTCGGGATCATTCCCGGTGTTTACATGGTAAATGTACTTAAATATTGCAAGAGCTTCCTCACTCTTACCTTGTGTAAGTAAGAACTTGGGACTTTCTGGCAAGAAGAACAGTAAAGCCGCCACAATAAAGGATGGAAATGAGCAAATGAGAAGAAATATTCTCCAAGAATTATACACAAAATACTGGTTCTTGAAACCAATATCTGCTGGAATAATCAACCAAGCTAATCCAGCTACAAATAAGTTACCCAAGGTCCAGAAAGCTGCCATGAATGAAAGCATGGAACCTCTCTTGGATTTAGGTTGGAATTCCGCAAAGTATGACCAGATTACTGGTCCGCTGCCCCCTAATCTGGAAACAAAAAATAGAAAACAATGTTAATAATCTACTTAAAAGAAATAACTAGCATATAACTTAATTATAGCATATAATGAATACAATATTCTGTATATATATTAAATACAATATTTTAATAATTGCAACAATGAATACAATATTATGTACTTTGTACAGTTTTCTCATTATTTATTATGATCTATTAACCCATAAATCCCTCAAATTTTCTGAAAACAGTCATCGGTGCTCTCCATTTTGCATGTATATTTTATATACTCTAAGCTCCTAAGTATTTGAATTTAACTTGGTGTTTAATTTATTCTCTATTCTCTATCTAAAACTTACTTAATCGGTTCCTGTGATATTTCATAAATTGTTTGTCTATTGGACACACATAATCAAAAATTTTATTTAAAAAATTCTTTATAAAATGTATAATAATAAAAACCCTGTCGGGCTACATCACAGAACGTTTTCAGAATTAATATTTCATCATCAATTCTATCTGGATGTACATGTTTGAAGCCACTAAATATATGGGTAATAAACCCTTTAAATATTGTTAGATTAACCGCCAAGTGCAGGAATTTAGTTTCCTCGTGGACATACATAATTGTTCCTCTTCTACCGTTAGGTGTCAAGGGTAAGATGTGTTGTATATTGAAATCATCAGAAATCTTTATTTTCTGTAATTGTAATGCTGATATGCACGAAACGAATGATTCAAAGATTTCTTTATGACTCAGTACCATTGTCGAGTTGAACATTTTTATTGTATCTTTTATCCAGATAAAAACACGTCAGATTCATGTTGTAAATAATATAATTTACCAGCAAAGCAAGTATACGTACATAGTGTCCTTCTTTATTTCATATAATAGATGTGGGTACCTACTATATAGACATTTTTGGTCGTTCGAATACTTTTTTAGATCAATGAAACGTAAAAAGTATATTTTTTCTATTATAAGAATGTAAAAACTAAAATGGTACAAGAACTACTCAGAAAATAACCATTCAAAATAAAAGAATATTAACTTCAAAACAACTGATGCTATATATTTTTTATTTACGCAAAAAACACGACATTCATTTTATTTGTTTGGCGAGTTTGTTTCTTCTTCATGAAGAAACTCATGTAGGTAATAGATCAAATGTTCTTGAACAACAGTGCTTCTAAAATTGTTAATGGGGAAAATACAAAAAAGTCACTAGGTATTGAAGTCTGAATTGAGAAAATGTATTTTACCGTGTAATTTGGCACCACAATTATAACGTTTAAAACCAAATTATCAGTTCAATAAATTGAATCATAAGCAATGTCATTTGATATTGAAAAATCTTTCATTTCATTTTTGGAAGAAAGAAAAAATAGGTAACCACTGAGTTTGAAATTCATAGAAAAAAAAGAAGGCATATGTACCTGCAGGATTCAATATGACTCATTCTGAAATCAGCCAAAAAAACATCTAGTTCTATATCAAATGTTGAAGCCATAGATGATGAAATCGCTGCAGAAGAGGCGAAAGTTACTTGCTGCTAAATGGAGATTCGTCAGGTGAAGAAATAGACGAACTACAAGAAATGGAAGAGGATATTGAGTTCAACCAAAAGTTTGACACAAGTTCTCTAACGACTAATATTACTTCTTCTTCTTTCAGTATCCTGTCTGATTATCGAACGTTGGCGATCATATTGGCAATAATAACTTTGATTACGGAGGCTCTAAATCAATTAGCGGTGGTTTCTTGATACCATTCTCGGAGATTTCGTAGTCAGGATGTTCTTCTTCGGCCTGGGCCTCTCCTTCCGGCGATCTCACCCTGTATTATGAGGTGTAGAAGGTTATACCCCTCTGGATGTCTCATTACACGACCGGAATATTGTAACTTTCGAATTTTTATCGTATTTGTTATTTCTGTTCCCTTTTTCATTACAATGTCTCTGTAAGGGTCCAGCTCTCTATACCATACATGTGGAGAATATGCAGCAGCGTATTAATCGGATTTTAAGGTTTAACGTAATATCTCTATTAATTAAAATTTTCTTTAATTTATAGAAGTCTGCTCTGGCATTTTCAATCCGTATTCTTATTTCTTTATTTATATCCCAGTTATCGTTAACGTTTGCGCCCAAATAGCACAGATATAGCCCAAACAGCCCAGTTTTGCTGACAACCATAAGTTTTTTCTTAGAAGTATTAAGTTTTAGCCCATATTCATCACATGCTTCGGTTACCCTGTTTATAAGTCGTTGCAGGTCTTCTTCATTGCAGGTAATAAATACCATGTCGTCTGCATACCTGAGATTGTTGACATTATTTCCGTTGATTTTAATGCCCGTATCTGCAATAAGGCTTCTTTGAAAATAAATTCGGAGTAGATATGAAAAAGTAGAGGATACATCCTTGCCTCATTCCACGTCGTATTTCCACTGCTTCCGTCGTGTTGTGTTCAATTCGTATGTTTGCACATTGATGCCAATACAAATTTTTGATAATTCGAAGGTCTCGGTCATCAATTCTCACCTGGTGCAAGACACCTATAATTTTGTCATGGTTACTTAGTCAAAGACCTTTTCTAAGTCGATAAAACACATATATACCGATTGTTCAATATCTCTACATCTTTGAAACATGACCTGCAAACTGAAGAGTGCTTCTCTGGTTCCAAGGTTGTTTCTGAAACCAGATTGTGTTTCACTTAGTTGTAGGTCTATTTTGTTGTAAATTCTCGAGTGCAGTATTGTTAAGATCTATAAAACTTTAATTCGGCCAATAGCATGTTATGGCAGCGAAGCATGGGTCCTGAAAGAAACATCCAAAAACAAACTCGACACATTCGAAAGAAAAGTACTGAGGAGAATACTAGGACCTGTGAGGGAAAACGGAATCTTCAGAATTCGATATAACAACGAGCTCTATCAACTGTATAAGGAAACACCCCTGTCAGACTTCATTAGAATACAAAGATTACAATGGGCCAGACATGTGATACGAATGGGAGAGGATAGGCTACCAAAACGAGCACTGAACGCCAGAATGCAGGGAAAGAGACCAGTTGGAAAGCCAAGAAAGCGCTGGGAAGACACAGTAAGCAGCGACGCACAAGCACTTTTAGAAGTCCGTGTATGGAGAAGAGCAGCCACAGACAGACAAGGGTGGAGGCAAAAAATAAAGGAGGCCAAGGCTCATTTTGGGCTGTAGTGCCGTAGAAGAAGAAGTATTGTTAAGAAAATTTTCAGTACATGACTCATCAGACTGAGTGCGATAATCGCTACGCTGTTTTCCATTTTTTTTTTCGGTATCGTTACAAATGGTGATAGTATCCAATCTATTATATACTTTCTTATTCTTTGATGGATCTTTCCATTTCATCGAGTGTTATGTTTGGACCAGTCGATATATTTTCGATTTGAATTTCTGTTCTGTCGCCATTAAACAGCTCCTCAATATATTCTTTCCACCTCTCTAATCTGTCTTGTTCATTGACTATAATATTTTCTTGTTTATCAAGTAAACTACATGCAGTTGATCTATATATTCCAGTTATTTCTTTCATCTTTTTGTACATATTAAACGTGTCGCTATTTTTCTGCAGTTCTTTTATTTCAAGACATTTGTTGCTGTACCATGTTTCTTTTGCATTCCGGATTGACCTTCTGATTTCTTTATAGATTTTCTTGTATTCCTCAGTGTTTTTATTTTTCTGTTTTTGTCCGCTTTCCATTAGTCCCAATATTTTATCAATCATCCATTGTTGTTTGCGCTTATTAATAATTTTATATTTTTTAGTTGTTTATTGCATAATACAGTCAGTCTTGAATTCGATTAGTCGGTTGTTGGCGTTTTACTTTTTTAAGTTTGAGATTTATGTCAGTGATTAATTAATGATCTGAGGGGACATCCGCTCCAGGTAGTGTTTTAGCTATTTTGATTGAATTTCCGTACCTTTCGGTAATTGTTATATAATCGATCTGATTTCTTATGATCTGCTCTTTAGTATCTGCGGGTGACTTCCATGTATATAAACGACGCTTGGGTAGTTTGAAGAATGTATTTGTCACACATAGATTGTTCTCTACGCAGAATTCTACAAAACAGTCTCCCCTGTCATTATGTTGTCCAAGTCCAAAATTCCCTGCAATGTTTTCTTGTCTACCTTTTCTACTTTGGCATTGAAGTTTCCCATTATTATTATAACCTCTTCATTTTTCAGCTGAATCATTACCTTCATTATAACATCATAAAAATCTCTATGTAAACTACACTACTGCTAGCTGTGAGTGCATAAACTTGGACCAGATTTATATCTACTAGTTTTGAGTTTAATTGCATCACGATGACTCTGTCCGAAATGTAACTTACAGATTTAATACAGCAAGAGACTTCTTTATGTACAATATATGCGACGCCATTGCGGTGGTTAGTGCCTTCTTCTCCGGAATAGAATACATCGTGGTCGTCTATGCTACATTTACCACTCCCCGGCCACCACATTTCGCTTATCCCAAGAACTGTTATATTCAGGCTTATCATCTCACGTATGATAAGGCTCATAGGGAAATATAATAGGGCGGTTTCCCGTTGCCTTTCTCATCGCAGTATCACAACCATTTAAACTGCTCCAGTTATGCTTGTGATAGTTTAGTTTCAAGCCGATCCTAAAGTACTAATATTACTAACAAAGTATATCCTGGAGTTATTACAGTAGTATATGGAGATGGCGGACTAATGAATTCTATGGAAAAATCGCTTAAGTTTTGGATATGGCCAGTAAGACGAGACGAAATATGTTATCACTGGGATAATTTATTTGGATCCATCGAAGATCTATAGATCTTCGTATGCAAATTTATAAAAGAGGACTGTAAATCGTTAAATCGTTATAGACTGTGACAAATTTTGGTGCAATTAGATTTAGAGGTATTTAAGTCTGAAACTTACATATATATTGGTAGTACATATGGACGTAGTTAAGCAGAAAACGTCCAACCCACAAATTGTTAAAAATGAGTTCTTTACACCAGCGAGCATATAATTTCTTGCTTTATAATATGCAGAAACCGTCCAAGTGAAAACATTACATACTCTTTTAATAATCGTCAAAGTTCTAACCCACAAACTAGGTTAACTGAGATTTTCATTGATAATAAAAAATCCAAGTGGGTTGAATTTTTTCTAAAAAATGTATGTCGATCTAAGTAATCGTGTTAAAAGAGTGGTTAAAACAGGCTAAGTGGGTTGGATCACTTTAACGCTCCATGCGATAACAAAACTACTGTGCATTTTTTTGTGTTAAAAACATCCAAGTGAATTGGATGTTTTCTACTTATAAATTTCGGTATACTTGTTAAAAATAAGAGTATAATCAGAAATCGTCCAAACCACTTGGTATCATTTTACGTTTACTATTTCATTAATATGTTAAAAGTAGTTTGAATCTTCAATTTCGGTCGATAATAAAATTTTATTACGGGAATGTGCCCTATTAATGTTTAAAACGTGCCTTGTGCGTATAAACCCTGGAACTTGGTCGATAAAAATTAATTTATTATAGGTACTCATCTTAAGCATAGTAATCACTTTCCTTTAGTTTTAAGTAAATGTGCCTATGTATTGATAAACATTTCTTTTTATTCAGTTGTGTCTGATTTTTCTGACTGTTCGGGTTTAAAAATACTTATTTAATAATAATTATGTCGAAAAGAAGCAAATACATGTGTGAGCTAGCAAAACTTATGGAAAACCAAACAAATCGTGTAATGTCTAGCGTGGAATTTGATTCAAATATTACCAATGTTGAGGTAAGTCGGAAATTTTTTATTAAAAAATAACTATATGTTGTTTACTGATTATTTTTTCGTGGTTTTCGGCCAGATTGAAGAAATAACACAAAACTCTCTTTTTTTTTACGACGTTTCAATTTATTTTGTTACTAAATCTTAAAAAAAAAATAAAGAAAATAGAAGAAAATAGAGTTTTGTGGTATTTCTTTAATCTGGCCGAAAATCACGAAAAAATAATCAGTTTATAAGACACGGCTTCTAAAAGTTTATGTTGTTTACTAAATTTTTAAAATAAATGCATTTTATACATCATTACATAATTTAAATATATTGTAGAATATGGATGATACCAATGTGACAGAATTCTACCGTCACAGCGAACCATCGTCATCCAATAGTCGTATTCGTGAAATGGTTTTAAACGAGAAAACTGGATGTTTTGAATCAGCTTCTACCATAGATTCTGTTGATGATTATGATGTAAGTATTAAATCTTTGTACCTATACTGTTTAGTAAAATGCTTTATAATGCTATTCGCTATATTATTTCTATTTAATGAAAACTAAACTTTGATGTACCTATTGTTACAATCTAAAAGAAAAAATACAACTTCCTTAGGTACACACAATTTTGTAAACACATATGTATTAATCTTATTATACCAATGTTAAATTGATACCTATTATTATGATCATCAATTATTATTGATTAAAGTAATTATACAATAATGTAAAGCATATGAAAATTATTTTTCGATGAGTACCTATAGTAAACTTTATGAAAAAGATTAATTTGAATGAATTGAATTTGTTTTATTTTTTGGTACCTGGTAATTGATTAAAAGTTAACTTCTTTAATTAAAATAGACGCTTTCTATAATTTTTTGAAATTTTTATTTAAAATATTATCTAATAATACCTACCTTTTTATTCTTACAGAATATGTCAATAAGTGATGTCTTTAGTAGCGGTTCCTCTGATATGTTTATACCATCGTCACATGAAGAGAGTTCCGATAACAATGAAAGTTGTGATGATAATCCATTTTTAGCCAGTACATCAGGTCGTCCAAAGAAGGGTAGAAAAAAGAAATTTGCAATGACGCGAGCAACATCAAAGATTAATAGGAACAAAAATGAATCTTACATTGACTACAAAGGAAAATTGAAAGCTGCTAAAGAATTTCAATATGACTACAATTGTAACTGCCCGATGAAATGTTCTGAGTTGATTTCTACAGAGTCACGAAAACAAGAATTTGATCGTTTTTGGAGTCTTGGGTCTTATATGCCCAAACTATCTTTATTGCCAATAATATCCACGAAATGCCGAAAAAAAGAATGTATGGAAGAAACACTGAAAGACGTCTGTATTCCAGACAATATTCCTTACTTATAGGCAAATGTTTATCAATAGTCTTAGAATAACTCCGTCAAGAGTAACAACAGCTCTGAGAAAGGTAAACAATCGTGCTCCAATTCTTGATCAAAGAGGTAGAAAACAAGGTGGTTTAAACAAAGTCCCTGAAAATAAAATTCAGGAAATAATCAACCAGATCAATAAACTGCCTAAGTACATATCGCACTACTGTCGTGAAAACACGTCTGCATTATTTTTACCGGCACATCTCTCATTATTAAAGATTTATGATCTATACAAATCTGAAGTTCAAAACCCTGTGAAATTTGGTATTTATAAGAGGATTTTTTACGAAAAATTTAATTTGAGATTTAATGTTCCCAAGAAGGACACATGCCAGGTATGTGATTCATTTAAAATAAAACTACAAAATGAAACGGATGATCATAAAAAGCAACTTTTACAAATTGAACTCGACACTCATCAGGATTTGGCCCAAAAATCACGAGAAACATTAAAGGCAGATTTAAAACGAGCTAAAGATGAGGATAATGTAGAGTGTTTAACATACGATCTTCAAAAAACTCTACCTTTACCCAAAATTCCAACCAATGTAATATATTATAAGAGGCAAGTTTGCTTGTATAATCTCGGTGTATTTTCAGGCAAACGTAATAAGAGTTATTCCTATGTATGGCTTGAAGGAACTGCTGGAAGAGGAGCTCAGGAGGTTGGTTCCTGTATTGTAAAATATTTAGAAAACATAGAAAGTACTGTTGAACATCTTATATTGTGGTCTGATTCTTGTGGAGGCCAGAACCGTAATATTAAAATAACACTCCTCATGGCCAGTCTTCTTCAAACCAGCCATAATATAAAAACTATAACATTTAAATTCCTGATTTCCGGCCATAGTTTTCTACCAAATGATAAAGATTTTGGGGATATAGAATGTCAACTCAAACGTCAAGAACGAATATATACACCTTTAGACTATATAAATATAATAAATTCATGTCGTAAAAAGTCTCCAATAACAGCTGCACAAATGAAAAAGGAATGGTTTTTGAGTACCCACCAGCTCGAGAAGGCCACAATAAACAGAAAAGTTGGCACCAATAAAGAAAAAATAAATTGGTTGGAGACAAAACAAATTATATTAACAAAAGAAAATCCTTACCACATCTTTATGAAACCTAGTTATTTTGGCGATGAAAGTGTATGTTTGGATATTGAGCGACGAGGACGATTAAATACAGAGAGCTTTTCGGCGCTGCTTATGCAACTCTGGCCCAATGGTAAACCCCTGTCAGAGGATAAAATTAACGATATTAAAAGCTATTTACATCTAATTCCTTCAGACGCTAAACCGTTTTATGAAAATTTTACAAGTGCTAATGTAGTCGAAGACGTTGATGGATTTAATGTTCCAGTTCTAGATTTTGAGGTAGATACCCACAATAATTAAAACTTTTTTTAAATTTACATTTACATAAGAAAATCATTGTAATTTTGTTTCTTTGGATCATTAAAATTTTTATAAAAATATGACATTATTTATTTATCTGAAAGATTCCAACCCACATAAGTATGTTTTATCGAAATTTTTTTCGGATTTTTGTTTTTTGTTAAAAACGTCCAACCTAAAATTTTCAAAATAACTTCATTGAAACTTACATTTAAAAGAAATTACAAACGAGGTGCCTACGAGATGAATATCATTATCTTAAAATCATTGCCAGGCGAATAAATTATGCATAGTTTAGCTAGGGCACACTAAAATCTTTTAAACTCAATTTCCCAACAATCACTTTTTTTGGGTTGGACGTTTTCTGCTTAACTACGTCCATATAAGAGTATTTTTATAAGTTAAATCGAAAATAAAGCAATGTTTTCTTTTGCATTTTTAATACTTAATATGTTTTATCTATAATTAATAGAATTAATGAAATGGAATGGAATACAATTAGAAAGAAAATATATATTTTTCTTCTCTTCCTTGTATATTTTAAATGTCCCAGATATTTAAATTGATTTACCATTTAATAGGCAATAAGTCTGCTACTACACATGAATAAATGGAAAATATATATAGAAAAAACAAGGCTAGGTATCTTTCCTGTTAAAATAAGTTTATTCTGAAGCGTTTATTCGTTTATTTATATTAATATAATATTAATCAATACTACAAGCATCACAATCTATGCAGAATAAGTAGTAACATTTCCTTTATTATATCTGATTGATTATTGACTCATTAACAACGGAAAATAGTGGATCTGTAGATGATCTTCCAGGTTTTAAATTTTGTAGTCAGTATACCATAAATGTTTGTACACGTAATTCATACTTAAAAATTAAATACTTACGCCGCCCCGTTTAGAAATCTGAAGACCATGAACAGCTCATATGTTTGACAGAAGCTAGAAGCTACTATACATAGAGCATTCATGAAGGAACTCACAATAAGCACCTTCTTACGACCCAATGAGTCTGCTACTGAACCCCAAACGTAGGCTCCTGCCATCATACCAATAAATATGATGGAATTGAGCCACCCTTTGGTTTGAGTGTTGAGGTTTAAGTCGCACTGGGCCGAAGGGAGGATGAACGACATCGAGATGACGTCCATCTCCTCGGAGGTGCTTACGAAGCCGCATATTGCTAGAAGTAAGAAGTGAAATTTCCCATATCTGCAAAAAAAAAAAACGCCAAAAATAGTATTGCAATTATAGCATTTACAAAGTTTTGTAAAAAATAATTATAAAAAAAAATAAAAAAAATGTTATATAAAGAAATGAAACGTTTCTTTGATATATTTAACGCATCACAAATGTTATTACATAATGCAGAGGAAGTAAAGAACAATTTTTATAAGTCAGTGGGAATATCAGATTTCTTTTTGTGCCCTATCAGAATTATCCGATGTGGCAATTACCATGACAAAGGCTTCTGTCATACGAAAGAGTTGTTGTGCTGCATTTTTCGTAATCTCTAATCTTAAATGTTTGTCAGTCAAGAAACTTAATTTCTGCCTACATTTCTTCGACTTTCATTTTGTTTTTGAGAATTAGCTTATTATTTCATATCTATCGTCTCGACATATACCCCAAATAAAATATTTTCCTACATTTAACAGTCTTAAGTAACTCTCTGTTCTTATTTACTCTTCTTAGTCCTTCGACATTATTTATGTGTGTTGCCCAATGAATCTTTAACATTCATCCTTTTATCTAAATTTCTAATTACTCAATCCGATTTATCGTTGGTATTTTTAGCGTCCATGCTTTTACTGCATACAGCAGTACTGGCCAAATATATCATTTGCTCATTATCTGTCTTAGTTCTAAACTGAAATGGACACTGGATTTGTTTCTATTTACTTACTTATTTTTTATTTCATTCTCATTTACTTACACTTATTTCCATTCATATGGCATACATGTCCGTATTATATTAAACAACTTTTGGATTCAATAATATCAGTTATTGTAGTGTCAATACCCATTCTTTCACATCTGTCGCCATTTTTGATTTTGTCGTGCAATGCTATTTCCCTTGAAAACAACTTATTTTTGAAAAAATTCGTCATTTCCCAGACTTCACCTCCATAAGTTTCGATACTTTTTAGTATGATATTGTAGATTATAATTCTTGTTTCTTGTATAATTTTTGTGTTACTTATGTATCTTGACCAATTCGTTTCTTAATTTTGTTTTCACTAGAGCCGTTTTTAGTAATTGTAACCCCAAGGTATTTGTACGGGTCAACAATCTTAATTTACAGTCTGACACTAAATTATTTCGATCTAAGGTAGCAGGTAGATACATTTTACGATCCCGGTAAAGTTAGGTCTACTTCAGGATCGCGACCCTGCCTATGCGAGCCGTGGCTCACTCTCAATCCCTTTAACCGAGAGGGTACCACGTCCCAACCTATCATCCTTGTCGATGACGCCAAATTCCCTAGCCCATCCTACAATCCTTCTACCAACCCGCACAGGCCAGAGTGGTAGAGAAACGGCCAGGAACCCCGTAAAATAAGAAAGGAAGAAAATGCAAGGCCCTCAGTCTCCGGCAGTCCCTTGAAAACAGGCTATGGTAGCAGTCCTGTAGTTAGAGGGACAGAGGGTGCTAAGAATCACCGGAGTCAACCAGGCTACCTTCATAAACGACAACGGCAAAGAATATGGTTTATGGCAACATACAACACAAGAACATTGATGGAGGACGAAAAACTAGTTGAACTGGAAAACGAGCTGAATCATATAAAATGGGATATACTTGGATTGTCCGAAGTACGGCGAAAGGGTGAAGAAGAAATGGTACTTCCGTCGGGAAACCTATTGCATTATCGAGGAGAGTCTTTCAATGGTGGCGTAGGATTTATGGTAAATAAAAAACACACAAAGAATATACTCACAATTAAAAGCATAAGTGATAGAGTTATATATCTTATCTACAAAGTAAACGAAAAAATTCGGTTAAAGATCATCCAGGTATATGCACCTACTAGTACCCATACAGATGAAGAAGTAGAATGGTTCTACGATGACGTTAACACTGCCATACAAGAGACAAACACCAACTTTACTATACTGATGGGAGACCTAAACGCCAAAAAAGGCCACAAGCAAGATGATTCGGAGTTTGTAATTGGACCTCACGGATATGGCGATAGAAACGAAAGGGGTCAAACTCTCATAGAATTTCTTCTGCAACACAGGCTATATGTCATGAATACGCACTTTAAAAAAAGCGACCAAAGAAAGTGGACTTGGCAATCACCAAATGGTTTAAACAAGAACGAAATTGATTTTATATTTACTAACACGCTGTTCAAGACGTAACTGTATTAAATCAATTTTCAACTGGAAGTGACCATAGAATGGTTAGGGCGAAGATAGTCTTAAACATACAGAAGGAAAGAAGACATATGGTAACAAGGACTAATAATGTTACATTCACTGCGATTACTAACACCAGGGCATACCAGGAAGAAATAGAGAGTAATCTACAGAAAGACCTGCAAGATTGGTAGCAACGAAAAATTGGTAGAAGCCCTGAAGAAGTCACAGAAGAAGTGCCAAGCCAAGCACTCAACAAAAAATGAAAAACTCACAGAAGACACAAGAAACCTAATGCAAAAAAGAAGGGAAATGAAAGAAAAGCATACAACGAACATTGCAGAGCTAAGGAATTTAAACAAAACCATTTCAAAAGCCATTAGGAAAGACATAAGGAACTTTAACACTAAGGAAATAACTGATACCGTAGAACAAAACAAAAGCCTAAAAGTTCTAAAACAAAAGTTGAAAACAGGAACGAGGAATATTTATAAGTTAAAAAATAATCAAGGACATGTCATACATGAACAACAAGAGATACTAAAAATCATCGAAGAGTACTATAGAACATTATATAGTCGAGATGATCACATTCCCGAAGTAGAAATTCCAGCAATACTAAATCAAGGGTCAGAGGAACTTCCAGATATAACCGAAGAGGAAATTAAGTCAGCATTAAAAGGTATGAAGAACAACAAAACACCTGGAGAAGATGGCATTGTAAGTGAAATGATAAAATAAGGAGGCGAATGCGTCATAAAGGCTTTAAAAACCCTTTATAATGCCTGCCTCTTTGAAGGAAATACGCCAGAAAAATGGAATAATGCCATTATGATAATATTGCATAAAAAAGGAGATGTAACAGAAATTGGCAACTACAGACCTATCAACTTATTATCTCATTTATATAAACTCTTTATGAGAATAATTACTAACAGACTGGGACCTAAGCTGGATTTTCATCAACCTCTAGAGCAGGCCGGATTTAGGAGTGGCTTTGGAACAAATGACCACCTACAAGTAATAAAATCCTTGATAGAGAAAGTTATAGAATACAACAAGCCATTGATATTAATATTTGTAGACTTTGAGAAAGCATTTGACTCAGTCCAGCATAGCTCCATGTTAAGAGCTCTTACAGAGTGCAGTATTGACCATAGGTACACAACTCTTCTTCGAAATATATATGATAGCGCAACAGCTGCTGTAAAAATGTACTATGGTGACACAGACACATTTCCCTTGGAGAAAGGTATTAGGCAAGGAGACACTATCTCTCCTAAACTATTCACCGCCCTATTACAGAGTGCTATGAGAAAAAATAATTGGGAAAATATTGGATTAAATATAAATGGGGAATTTTTGAACAACTTGAGGTTTGCAGACGACATAGTCCTTATTGCAGATCAGGTAGATCATGCATGCCAACTTCTTCAAGACCTTCAGAGCTCTTGTGCACGAGTTGGCCTTAAAATTAATTTTTCCAAAACACAATACATGACCAACCTGGTACTGGCAAAAAACATTTCCACTAATGGCACGCAAATTGAACAAGTGTATTCCTATAAGTATCTGGGCCACGAGATTAAATTGGGAAGAGACAATCAAACAACAGAGTTAAAAAGGAGAATAGGACTGGCATGGGCAGCTTACGGAAAACTGAGGGAAGTCTTTAAATCAGCTATTCCCATGTGCTTGAAGAGAAAAGTTTTTGATCAGTGTGTACTTCCAGTTCTGACATATGGAGCAGAAACATTGACACTTACCAGAAAAGTAATTAATAAGATACAAGTGGCACAGAGAGCGATGGAGAGGTCAATGTTGGGCGTATCACTCAGGGACAGAGTTTCGAGTCAGATAGTAAGGAGAAAAACTGGTGTGACGGACGCAGTTGAAAGAATTACAACCCTGAAATGGAACTGGGCAGGACATGTTGCTAGGGTCAGAGATGGAAGATGGACAAAGAAAATTTTAGAGTGGAGGCCTAGACACGATGCTTATCGTAGTCGAGGACGTCCTCCAACAAGGTGGTCGGACGATTTAAAGCGCATCCAGTCTAACTGGATTCAAGTTGCTCAAGATCGGATGCAATGGAATTATTTACGGGAGGCCTATGTTCAGCAGTGGGCGCAAAATGGCTAATGATGATGATGAATTTTCCAACAACCAGATATTCAGTTTTTTTCCATGTTAATAGTCAAATCCCAAGCCTGATACTCTTCATCCAGTTTTCTGATCATATACCTTATAATATATATTGTTCTAAAACTATTTTCTTGTGGCATTTTAAAGTAATTACTATCTAAATGGGAATAAGCCACAATTAAAGGTTAAAATACGTTTATTGACGTTTCAATTTCTACTTCGGAAATCGTTCTCAAAATACAAATATTAGTAAATTAAACAAATTTTGTTGTTTTGTTATTGGGTGAAAAAATTCTTCTAATAATTTAATTTTATCTGACTCGTTTATATTTACAATTCAGATATATATATTATACATTTTAAATTAGACGACTTTAAAATGATATTGCCAATATTGTTGAGTTGCGTTTCTGGGACAACTTTACTTGTAAGATAGTTCATTCGATTACATGAAATCAACTTTAACTTGTGAATATCCGTCAGAAAAAATCATAGCATGTAATTCGTCTTTAAAAAGACAAACACATGCTACATGACGACAGTAAAACTCTTCTGTTTTAAAATGAGAATTTTTTTCACAAAGCAACAAAAAAACTAAATTTGTTTAATTGACTAATGTTTGTATTTTGAGAAGGATTTTCGAAGTGGAAATTGAAACGTCAATAAACGTACTTTAACCCTTTTAATACTTTATATATTTCT